GGCAGCAAGGCTGATGATCATCTCTGTGTCCTAGGACAACAACAGCTCACCCAGGGCTGCCCTCTGCTATGTTCTCCCAAGGTGCCCTTTATGCCATGGAATCCTAGCAGAGCCCCTAGTCTGCCTTGTGTTCTCAATGCTCTGAGAAGATGAGAATTACTGACCACAGAAAAGAGACATAGATGTTTCCAAAAGCTGGAAAGGGACCAGCTGAGTAATGCCTGTGGAAAGGGGACAGAACCACTCTCAATGGAGTCACCAGTCAGGGGCATGAAACCCAGGAGAGATTCATGAGGATATGAAGCAGGAGGCGACCTGAGTCCTGAAGAGACATTGGTGGCTCCATCAACCTAGGAAGAGTTTCAGAGGGCTCCTCCATCTCCCTGTGATGGTTGAGCCATGCCATGGGTCCATGGGATGCAGCTGACACCTGTCTAGGTGAAGTCCTCATGGGATGTGCCAGGAGTCAGGGTGTGGTAATATAGGATCCTCTGGCAGAGAGGTGTGCTTAGACACACAGGCAGCAACCAGGATGACTAAGAAGGCTGTATGTGACCTCCAGGTCTATAGGGTCATGGATAAAAGTAGGCTACAATTAAGCTCGTGCCTCCTGGAAATACTTTTCTAGGTTTTTATTTTGTGTCTTTCTATAGCCACCTAGTTATTACTAGAGGAAGCGCCCCTCGTGTCTGGGAGCTGTCCAGATCAGCACCTCTGTTGCCTCTTACCTGGCAGGAGAGAATTCCAGAGCTGGATCCCAGAGGACAATCATTTGCAGAAAAAGGACTTCTTGAGCAAAGGGGCCCAGACCAGGCGGGTGAAATCCACAGAAACAACTGACCTGAACATCGGGGAACTCTTGCTCCCCAGACTGATAGCTGGGAAACCAGCATGGCACTGATCCAGAACCCAAGAATATGGATTTCATTGATGAAACCTCGGAAATATGCAGGACCTCCTGTAGTATTTCAGTACTTATCCCTAGCATAGGTGTGGGTTTTGGGAGCCCATTCCACATAGAGGGATACTCCCGGAGCCAAGACTCATGGGGGTGGGCCTAGGCCCTATCCCAAAAGATACAATCGACACTGATGACACCCTGTGGAAGGCCTCACACTCCAAGAG